ATTCATGATATATGAGAACCGTGGAGTGACGTAGTATAATTTGTATTGTCATTATTGCGGCTCTCTTTGCCATCGCGCACGCACACAGAATATTCATGACACGAGAACATCACTCTCGAAAAATGCTTGCAGTGAAGAAAAATAATCTGTTTTCTTTTCGTTTCCATAGGGTCTCTTTGAGTAACATGGAAATGAAAATTACGGTTTTCAAATACCATTCAATGGAAGCGAAAATATCTTTAATAAAATGTGTATAACTTCTTGTTATAAACTACTTTAATTTTTGATTTCTAGTTCTAAGCAGATAGTCTTTAGCAATCCTTAATATTATCAATACACAAGGGTAGAATATGACTAAAAAGGATATTACTTATTACCCTTATATTACGTATATCAGAATACTGAGCAAATAAGTTATTTACTACTGTTCATTGTATACATCACACAAACACATTTGTTGAAGCACATTTTAATCATAATGTTTCAACATTGCTCTATTGTGGTCCTCAGGTGCTCAAGGTTGCATGCATGTATAAAAGAAAATCCATTTTTTAAACAAATAGATCTACAAAATTAGTTAAGTACACATTAACAAGTTAAAGCTATGTCATGTGAGTACGATATATCTCAGATCAATTTGTAAGTTGTCAGAGGAATAAACTGAGCTCACCTAGCTGTGAGAATAACTGAATAGGGTTGGCAGTGAAAATCACAGTAGGAAAAGTGTAGGTTGAATCAGTTGACAATTACGAAGTTGAAATCCATTGGTGGAGTGTTTTCCTTATAGCACACTAACTGTCTAAATGGGACAGGATAAAATCATAACTGTTAGTGAATTTATTACATTCTATAACAGAATTAAGTACATTATGAAGTTTTATATTTACAGTTTCGTTGGTCAGTCTGTCATTCAAATTATTTCCTATATATTCAATATATAGAGAGCATTGCTTTTTCCCGTTAATTTTTCTCTTTCTTAGTCCCCATTAGACCAATATTTTATTTACTTTTTATAAAACCTGTTTTTACCAGTAATATATGGATAGTTTACAAAAACCGGATACATTTTTACGTTTCAAAACACAGTATGGAAATTGAAAATTATTTACGTTTCCAAACCAAGTATGAATAGTATAAAATTTAGTGTATTCTCTATTCAAGATAATATTATTGCAAGGAAAACGGAGATTCATAATATTCCAATGACGTTTTGATTCTTATTGTTAATAAACAAACAAAACCCAACAAACTATTTTTTTCAAGCACTAAGATATCAATTACATACAATACAATACAAGATAAGAGTCATTACAACAACAACTATAATTTATTGTTACAGTCACTGTGCTTTACCAGTTTTGCTTAACCATTTTTTAACCATTTGCTTTTTTAATTTTTACGGTAGTTTATTTGAACTTTATTTCTCAACGTGAAAGTTTACAAAAGTTTTGAAACTATTTATAGTAAGGGAGTGCCGATTACAGCTCTATGAAAATAAGAACAGTTGCATTATAGTGTTCCTTTCTTGTGTAATCATTCAGCATTAATTATAGGCATTCAAACAAACTTATTTTCTAAAAATTATTATTTAGATTGAGTAATAAGTTGATTTTATAAAATTGAAACATTTTATTACATTTTCACTACAATTTTTAATGTCAGGTTTGTGAAGCTAAGTATTGTAATTATAAATATTGTAAATATAATGTCCACTTTGTATCATTTTGTATTGACTTAGAATTGTTCCCAATTGTAATATTAAGCGGGTAATGCAGAATGCGAGATTAGTGCAGCGAGAACGGGAGCAGTAGTCTTATACAAAAGCTCCAGTGCCTTCGTATCTAGAACATTCCTCATGCCACCACTCCATATTCTACACCGCATCCAATATTCACCCCGTGAGTATTCGGAGACTGAATAATATTATCTCGTATTGGTTTGTTGAACGAGTCGAGGGAACAGGGTTTTCATTATAACACACAGATTTGTTTTTGCTTTCAAGAATTTTTCGTTTTCTTTTTTATTTTTGTCCCCGCGTTTATTTTTCTAAAGAGCTAGACTGATCTTTCTTCCCTCTAAGTCTCGATTTTCCTTTTTTTTCTTCTCTAACAAATTTTTGAAACGAGACACAGTCGTCTTCTAAACAACCTTCTAAATAACATTTAATCAAGAGACTAGCATTACTTCTTAATTTTTAAAAAATAGGTGTCTTCACAGAAAAGTTTTATGCTAACATAATGAAGTCATATCTTACCTGATAAATAAAAGAAATCAAGGTTGAAAATAGTAACGCCGGTCGCTAGAGACAGGTGACTGCACCCTTGTTGAGCCGGCCGTTCTTGCCTCTGCTTCGAGTGCTGCCAACAGGGGAAAATCCGTGCATACTCTTACCTCCCTTTCCCATACCTATTATTTCCAGGATTTTTGTCCTGGATCTTATAGTTAAAACAGTATCTGTCTTTAAGTATGGTTTTGGGGACTCAATCTTACTTAAATTAAAAGTTAATTGAAATCTTTCCACAAACATCCGTTATGTACAAGGACCGGGAAGGGAAGGATGAAATTGAATAAAGAGAAAAACACGAATACCAGAGACAGAGCTTTAATGCTTTATACGAAGAAGGAATTCGGGAGGCGTACCTCCCGCTCCTCTCTTCCTCACTACACTCCGACTACCTGCAGTTACAGTCTAAGGTCTGTTAAACCTAAGAATGATCCTGATATACGATGGTTTGGTATATGAGTGTGTACGTACAATTTTTCGTTGCTGGCAATAATCTTTGTCCAAATCACACATTTCCTTGTTTATAAGAATGTTTTCAAATATAAGAAGGTACTGACAGTGACACCATTTTCAGATTCTGAATATGGTTGCTGCAACCCTGAATATGGCTACTAAGATATGGCAAGACGTCTTAGCAAAAACGCCGAGTAATCGAGAACAGAAATTTTTCACAGATCATCAGAGTCGACTGCTTAATCACTGATTCAGTAGAAACAAAAACTCCGAACGCAACGTTCATTGGTCTTACTGGGTTCTACTTGCTAATCGAGCTAAATCGATGATTGACGTATTGGATCTGATACTGCCGCAGATTCTTTTGAGAGTTCTTGAAGCTGGAGCAATTGGCCAATGAAGCAAGCAGCCATGCCACGGGTTAATACACTGTTCGATGGTTAATTTCAGGATCATTCTTATGCTGAGCAAGGATTACACACATAGTACCTTCGACGTACACAGAGCTGCTCACAGCCTTCCTCTGAATGTGTGTTCTCTAGAGCCGCCTGGGTTTACCCCATCCATTATCGCTCATGCGAATATGGATTTGCAGCTACGAGATTCGTGAAACATCGCAGATGTTGAATAAAAATGTGTTGACGCGGAAGGTTAGAACCGCCAAAGAAATTGAGAACTCCATGCTTCACTTCCGATTTATGCCCGTCTGTCCGTTCGAAGTAAAAAACAAATGGGCAATAATAAATTTTTGAGAATACACATTCAGAGTTAACATATTTTCCCACAAGAAGGAAGTAACTCAAGAAAGCTCTCAGGTATTTAAATAAATAAGCTGGCTATTTTTATGTTTACTACTCCTGAATTCCCTCAATAGCATTGCACTCATCACATTTTCAGAAATGTTTGAAGTTAATTGTTCTCTTAACATCTTCTCAAATCACATTCACAAAACTAGTACGTTATTATAGTAGTCTGCCTTACGCAACACAACTGTGCAACCATGACGGATAAGACGTATTCTGTTTTTTTTATGAGTATTGTTTTCATTAACAGTTTTCATCTTCGAATTCCACTGTTGTGCTTTACCACATTACATTCTCTTTAACTGACTGCCACTGTTTCTTGTAAGATTATCACATTAAGTTATAGGATACTACACCAATAATATGTTCCAATGACCAACTACTGTATGTAATACCATGGGAAAGTGCAAGTGAAACTGTAGGAACTTTAAATGAGAATTATACAGTACGTAGAATAGTTCTACTGAACAGAGACTGGCACGTCTCCCTTGATCTATCACTATATGCATGTGCTCCACCATTCGCTCTTCCGTTCGTCCCGAGGTGAGTCTCTCGAGAGCAGCACAACCAGGTTGGCCGCCGCCATTTAATATCATCTTAATTGCCCCGCCACGCTTCGTTTTGGAGTTGATAAATTATAACAACTGACGGCATTACAGAGAGTTTAGAGTACATTAAAATTGGTTTTGAGTTGATGGGTTTTGAGAGGTCCGCATCTCATTGAGTTGGAACGTCCCCCAAATCTCGAATCGGAATCGGTGGTTCAAAGGAATGCGCTACTCTGAAAGGAAGGACTCTAGCGTCGAGCGGCTTCGTGTGAGCTACCTCCAGCACTCCCGCCCCCTGCCCCCCCCTCGACCCCTCGCGTGAGCGGCAGACGGACGTTGACGGCTCCTCTCGTCAGACGCGTCAGGGAGAACAACGCGCGCGTCTCCGCCCGTGACAGTAACGACGCGTTTATCTCACGCGCTAATATAAATATTTCTACAAGATGTGCCCTTCGATAACGGATTTGCATACCGCAGCAATTACCCGTATATCTCATCCGTGTTAACAGCGCTGTAAATGCAAGTGGCGCTGGTAAAAGCCGCAACTCGCCGCCGTCGGAAATAAGAGGAGAGTGAGAAAAAAAATGAAAGGCTAATAAAAAAAGGGAAATTCTAAAACGGTTCGATTCGTTCGCGAAGATGAGATGACGCGTAATTCGTAATTACCTGATTTGTGTCTGCCAAAGGCCATTAGGTTAAATAGGTTGCGGCTAATTGCCGTTCGGCGGGCTGGCGGGCGATGGTCTTCTGTTCCCCGCAACCGCTTGCGTTGCGTCACCCCAGGAGGAACACTTTTATTTCGGAGGCCCTTTTGTGCTTTTTGTGGGGCACGGGGGGTGGGGGGCCTGCGGTTTGAGGCGGGCTGCGTGTGGGAACGGCGTGGACGAGCGTGGAGGGCCGATGCGTTGCCCGCCGCTGCGGAGCTGCTGAAAGCGAGACGCGCCCTTGCGACGCGCGAAATGTGCTGCTGCGGTTGCAATTCCCTTTGCGGAGTTCAGGCCTTCCGCACGCCCCACGTCACGCACAACCGTAGCACTCGTGCGGCAGATGAAGACAGGGTTCGTTCAATGCGGCGTTGATTTACGACGCAGGTGAAACTTTTAGTATTTAACTTTGCAGGCTAATATATTCAGATTTCACATTCCAGAAGCATATTTCAAGTAATCAATGTAAAGAATACGATTTAGACCTTTTCATTTCTTTTTGTTTTTTTTTTAATTACCTACTGACAACATAACTTTCAGCGTGAGGACGCTTTGCACGTATACTACAGAAATGTCAGAGTTCTTTGCATCACTTGGGTGAAATGTCGGTTAAAGCTGTGAAGAAGGGCTCGTCATTTTTCAGATTTACGCCTGCCTCTTGGGTCCACGTCGGTCCAGAGATGCCGGTGATGAGAGGGTGTAGACTGTTGCTCGACATTCTGGAACAAAAACATTATCACACTTTAATTACTTTCACGTATTTTATGCAAAACACACAAAGTGGAAAATTCATTGGTCCACAGATAACTTGTATATTTTCTATAAATTGTAGGCTAATATCTATTTTCACTCTATTTGAATTGATTTCGATCATTTGAATCGATCGCTTTCAGCATTAATTATCTACCCCATATATTCACATTACTGCAGAAGGATTAGAGGAAATGGTGCAAAGCCTCAGTAATGAATGTACAATACTAAAAAGAAGAAATTTTCAAGCATGGTAAACGTTTTGGAGCCATACTTTTGGGTTATTAAATACAAAATATCAACATCAAAATGAAACGATTAATAATGGACACTTGTGTATTGCCAGTCTTTACTTATGGATCGCAAAAATGCTCATTAACATGTCACAAAAATGTATGCAACAAAGATGCCAACGCAAGATAGAAAGGAAAATACTGCGAATTTCACTAAGAGATTGAATAGCATGTGCGGAAATAAGGGGGAGAACAAAATACACAATGCAGCACAATAAGCCGAAATTCTCAAGAGGAGATGGGGTGGTCATATTATGAAGCAAGATCATCAGAGATGAAATACACCTTTACAACCTGGGTCCCCAGAACTGGATGGAGGAAAGTGGGAAGACAAAGAAGAAGATGGATGGATGGTCTGGAAAATTAACAAATAACAGTAGGACAAGATTAGCACTAGACAGAACTCGTGGAGGAAAGAGGACGTGGAGGAAAGCTGGACGATATGGAGAACAGAAGATAACTGAAGACATGTAGACAAAGTACAATAAAGAAGAAGGAATAAGAAGTGCATATTATGAACAAAAATTAATAAACACTTTTAAGTGACATTAAATATGATAATTATGGACTAAAAACAAAGTGAAATGCCACAAACAATATAGAAGCAAATATTATTATATATTAAGTACTTATGATTATGTTCATGTTATTATTATGTGTATTATTTATTATTATGTTATGGCTTATATTATGTTCTTATAATTTTGTCTTATACAAATAACAATGCATGCCAACCTAAAATTCTCTGTAAATGACAACTTTCCCCTTAATAAGATTCTAAAGACTAAACAAAAAATAAAATAAAAATCTATTTTCAAAGTTCAATTTTTTGTTGTGATTTTGATGCTACGTTAGGCAAGAAACTTGTATTGGAAGGGAAAAAACTTGTTTGCAGGGGGGAAAATTCAGGGTAGTGAAATTGTTTCTAAAATAGGATAACTGAATTAAAAAATATAATTTTTCACTTCGTCTATTTCAAAAACAGAAAAACCTAATATTTTCTAAATTTCAAGTACACATTTTTCTCATCAAGAAAAAATTGTACAACATACCTTTGCTACATAAAATATTGGCAATACAACATAAAACTAAAGGAAAGTATTAGGTCGAATGTTTTCCTGATTTTCTGACACCGTCACACGGTACAAATGGGAAATCCACTGCTCAATGCATAGCTAGAGGATATTAATACCGTTATTACCTTCCAAATAATGATGAAATTTCAAACATAAATTTCCAAACTTTCCTCATTGTAGACACGTATGGGAGATTTAAAAAATATCGTTTACGAGTTAGGTAGGTGTACGTTCCGTAGAGATCTTCACGAAAGAAACCTGAAATTTTTATCGTTCCGAATATTATCGCTATGACAGATGTCCTTCTTACAGCGATTCCCTCTTAGGCCAGTTTAAGAGTACAAAGGTCTATTGTTCATTCTTCGACGAACGACAGAATAACGTTACAAATTCCATCACCATCCACAACAGCGCCCATTAACAAGGCGTGAAAATGCGCAGCGAACGCCGCCTAAACGCACCACAATAATCGCACACCGACGAGCCGCCTTGTAACGAGGCTGTGCGTGAAGTGGTGCGGGAGCGGGGCGACGCAGGAGCGGAGCGGAGAAGAGCCGGAGGGGCTCGGCGAGGGAGCGGCGCGGAAGCGCAGCAACAAAGCGTCCGAGCGGAGAGCCATGGGAGCGGAACGGGGCGGCACAGGAGCGAAGGGGCGGGGCAGAGGAGGGATGTAAGCGTGGAGCGCCATCGATGCCGATAGGAGCGTCTAGCAAGCGGAGCCAGAGTGAATCGTGAAAAATCGGGGAAAGAGACGGAACGAAGAGGCGCGAGAGCGGAGGGGAGAGGCGCAGGAGAGGAATGAAGCATTGCGAAAGGAGAGCGAAGGGCTGCGAGAAGAAAGCGAAGCAGTGGGAGGGTGAGAAAAGCGGTGGGAGGGAGAGCGAAGAGGTGGGAGGGTGAGCGAAGCGTTGGGAGGGGAAACCAAAGTGGTGGGAGGGGTGAGGGAAGCGGTGAGAGAGGAAAGCGAAGTGAGAGGGGAGAAGCAGGAGGGGAGAGCGAAGGGACGCGAGAAGAGAGCGAAACGGCGCGAGAAAGAGTGAAGCTGTCCGAGAAGAGAGCGAAGCGGTGTGAGGGGAGAGTGAAGCTGCGCGAGAGGAGAGAGAAGTGGCGTGAGAGAGCGTGCGAAACGGTCCGAGATGAGAGCAAAGTGGTGTGAGGAGAGAACGAAGCGGTGCGCAAAAGAACGAAGCGGCGAGTGAAAGAAAGCGGAGCAGCGCGAGAGGAGAGCAGAGCTGTGGAAGGGAAGAGCGAAGTGACGCGAAAAGAAAGTGAAGCGGTGTGAGGGGAGAGCGAAGCGGCACGAGAAAGCGAAGGGGAGCGAGAAGAGAGCGAAGCGGAGCGAGAAGGGAGCGAAGCTGAGCGAGAAGAGAGCAAAGCGGGGCGAGAAGAGAGCGAAGCGGAGCGAGAAGAGAGCGAAGTGGCGCGAGAAGAGTGAAGCGGAGCGAGAAGAGAGCGAAGCGATGGGAGGGGAGATCGAAGCGACGCGAGAAAGAGAGAAGCGGTCCGAGAAGAGAGCGAAGCGGCGCGAAAAGAGAGCGAAGCGGAGCGAGAAGAGAGCCAAGCGGTGTGAGGGGAGAGCGAAGCTGTGGGAGTGGAGAGCGAAGCTGTGCGAGAAAGAATGAAGCAGTCCGAGAAGAGAGCGAAGCGGCGCAGTATCGGTGCGGAGGCGCGCGGTCGGGCGGGCGGTCGCGTGCAGCGCGCCGCGGCAGGTGGCCCGAAGCGGCGGCCGGCGCTAACAGAAAGCGCATACGGCGCCCGACCTCTCTCTAGCCGACGCCTCCGGCCATTATCGCCGCTTTGACGCCACAATAGCGCCGGCCCTAGAGGTTTATGCTCGCACCCGGAGCTCTTTCCACGAAAGAAAGGGGGAGAATAAAAAAGAAATGGGAGGAAAAAAAAAGAAAGCGCGCCTCCACGCAATAATTTAGATAAGTTCCTTTCCTAACTCTATTATGTCGCAGGCGCGCCGGGAGTTTAGAATCCCATTAAAGGACATTATAAATAAAGTCCCCCGGGGAGGCTCGGAGCGAACAAATCGCAGCGTGCGCGCAGAGCGGGGCGGTGGGACGCGTACAAGGCCCGCTCGCTGCGCGCGCAGGCGATCGCGCAGTCGGGGACTCTGCGCCTGGCTTCGCTACACCGGCTGCGCCCGCGCCCGCGTCTGCGTCGAAGAATAACGACGGCCGTACGTCTCACAGACGGATGCGGCATTGTGTGCGTTCCTGGATTTAAATGAGACGTACAATGAATGCCCAGCGTTGCTAACGCGTTATCTGAGACCAGCGATCTACGGACCAACTGGCTCAGAATGCGCTCCCGCCAGGAGGGACTCATATTTGTCCGGATGATAATGCGGAGAAATTAGTTGCAGTCGTACTTTGTCTAGTTCGCTCAATATTTTATTTTCATAGAAGAATGTTCAAGAGAACATGATTAAAATGAACCTGTTACCATGTTTCAAATTGCGTATTTATGAAATGAACGCCATTATATCATAGTTTATTTGAGGAAATTTTGAAAGAATATATGATTTCTAAGCAAATATTAACAACGATAATGTGTGAAGTGAAATGAAATAAGTGTCCCTTGATTAATAATGTTTTAACTGTAGTTTTAGAGGCATCAACAATTTCAAAGAAAAAGTATGTCATTGCAAAAAAGGAAAATTAAACAATTTTTTAAAAAATGGGCTTTATTACGATTTTGAATTTTATGATCTCTTCAGAAAATAACATTATATACATCGTCAAACCTTTCCTCTTTTAAAGATGTATTACCATCTAGAAAACATTTGTGCAATATGTTTTTAATTATTTTTCCATATAATGTTAGTATTCAAATAGATCAGTCCTTTGCCAATTTGTATGCCCCTCTACTTTTTGGTCAGTGCTATTGTTCTATTAATTTACTTTCAAAAATACTTTGTAACATTTATAAGCTGCATAAATATTGAAACAAATTTGAACGTAACTGTATTTATCATTACGTTTGTGAAGGAATTAATTGATTAAATTATGAAATTTTAATCATTATTAATAATGATTCAAATAAAGTTATTTGCCAATATTGAACGCATCTTCTAAGTGCGTTCGATCGAATACCGGCGTTGGGATGTATACTTAGCATGCGTACTTCCTGGTGAGTTCCACTCAGCACAGACGGACAGTTCATTAGAGAAGTAGTAGCTAGTAGAGAAACATTTCTTAGAGAGATTATGATTAACATTGCATGCGGTTAGTGTTGGGTGTGTAATACACGCGAGTGCTGTAATTATTTCTTACAGGAAAGTGAAACAACATCTCTATTTCATATGAGCAAATTCTTCATTTACAGAACAAAATTCTATGTCTAGTGTCTACTCCTATCATCTCCCTCACAAATACACAATGCTACATTCTAACATGAAAGTCCACGATCAAACCACTCTAAATATTGTCAATTGAATAGTTCGTAACACATGTCGGAATACAAAAAATTACAGAAAACCTGTCATTTTGCAAGACAATTTTTGCTTGAGCGAAAGTGTTCATTTCGCGGCCAAAGACAATGGTTTACGCAACATCCTAATCGTCTTGTGAACAATCTTAAGGCAATTTTTAC